TGAGCTGATACCACGCCATTACACTCCAGCCTGGCCAACAAGAGTGAAACTCCATCTCAAAAAGGAAATTGTGGAAATTTTCTTAGAGTTACTTCTGTGTACCAGGATAAGGGAATAATCTGTAGGACAGGGCTTCTTAACCTCAGCACTTTTGGGCCAGATAATTGTAGGGTGTTTAGTAGCATCTCTTTTATTCTGTCTTCCAGTTGTGATAACTGTCTCTAAACACTGCCAGATGTCTCCTGGGGGCCAGAGGCCCTCTGGATGAGAACCATGGCTGTAGGGGATGTCTTCTGAAGAAACGGGCAAAGGAGGCCTTCTACAACATAAAGAACAAAATAAGGGAAAGGGTAAATGCAGTTGCATTTATTAAGATAAATTAATTTGATGTGGCATGGGGGGTGGTGTGTAAAGTGAGCTAATACAAAATGATGCTGGATACAGATCATGCATGTATACACAGTGGAGAGCTGGTTTTATTTGGGAGGCAATGGGAGCTTTTACATTGTTGAGCAAAGGAGTGACGAGATCAGTCCTGCTTTTTAGAAAGATTAGTTTGGCAGTTACTTATTTGTAACCAGAATTAGACAGCAAATAGGATGCGGGGGAGAAGTCAGGTGACTATTAAAGTAGTCTGAGAAGTTAATTCTGGACAAGAGCAGTGGTAATGGAACTAAAAAGGATCACAGGTTTTAGCAATAAATCCAACGCGAGGAAGGGGAACTTAAGATGCCATTTTAAATTTGAGAGTGGTAGTACCATTAAAAACTAATGAATTTTGATTAACTAGGGCTTCAGGCCCTTTGAAATTAAGTTGAATTTTGGTTCTTTCTGAGCAATACACCAGATTTCTAGACAAACACTTAAGGTATGTTTTTAGATATCTATTTAGTGCCTATTACAGCATGGTGTTAGCTTCCGAAGAGACAAGAATGACAAAAATAGTCTTACCATTAATGGCATTGTGAGAGGTCTAGCAGTAACTTGTTTATCCTATGCCTTGATCCACCCTTTCTCATTTCCTTATTAAGCACACAATACTGAGACCAGAATAAAGCAGTACATTTACTACCTTGTGAAGAATGTTCAGGTGTTCAGGTGTGTTATCTTCATTTTGTGCTGCTTTAACAGAATACAGGAGACTGGGTAATTTGTAAAGAACAGAAATTTATTTCTCACAGTTCTGGAGGAAGGGAAGTTAAGATCAAGGAGCTGGCACTTGTTGACTAGGGCTTTCCTGCTGTGTTCTCACATACAGAAGGCAAGCTAGCAGGATGCTCCCTGAAGCCTCTTTTATTAAGGGCCTTCATCCCAGTCCTGAGAGAATCCCTCATGGCCTAGTGATCTCTTAAAGGGCCCACCTCTTGATGCTGTCACACTGGCAACACCTGAATTTGAGGGGACACATTCAAGCCACAGCAAACTGAACATTTCTCCCATGCCAGATAGCACCATGTTCTTTGTCAGTAGGTGTTGGTAGAGGGGCACTGCAGAATGAAGGGGCTTCTTTTGCTTCTAAGATGATACTGTGACAGTTAATTTTATGTGTCAACTTGGCTAGGTCACAGGGTGCCTAGCTACTGGGTCATACTTTTTTTTTTTTTAAGAGATTTAACTTCTGCTCTGAGTTTCCAATTATAAGCTCAAACATTATGCTAGGTGTTTCTGTGAGGGTGTTTTTACATGAGATTGACATTTAAATCAGTGAACTTTGAGTAATGCAGACTGCCCTCCTCAATGTTAGTGGGCTTGATCCAGTCAGGTGAAGGTCTGAAGAGAAAAACGACTGTCCTCTTCCAAGAACAAGAGAATCCTCCAACAGATACCTTTGGACTGGACCTGCACCATCAGCTTTCCTGGGTCTCCAGCCGCCTGCCTCACACTCCAGCTTTTGGACTTGTTAGACTTAATAATCATCACACAAACCAATCCTTTTAAGGGAGTTTGTCTGGAGAATCTTAACAAACACAAACATCTACTGAGCGTTCCTGTCCAAGTTTTGCTCACACCCTAGCAAGAGGCTTCTGGCTTACCAGTAGAGGGTGTGAGGTTCTTTGCTTCTAAGACCTGATCCACCAGCTGTACACCAGCTCTGGCCCAAGGCAAGACAGGGAATTTCCCCATCACTGAGTAGGCTATAGCCACTCTCTCTCCATTAGGCCTGACTTCACCATGGGTAAGGGGAGCCCCTTTCAAGGGTATACTTAACTTTGGTACTCTCAGTCCTAGAACATCGTAGCTCTCTTTCATCTCTCTTAAAAGCTAATATCATTATCAGTTAACAGTTTTTTATATTAAAATTATCCCTGTTCAAGTTAATGGTATGGTTTCTGTCTCCTGACTAGATATCAGGATACAGTATTTACTGTCACATTTCTACTAGTTTAAAGTTTTTCGTAATATTTAAACTGAATTTTTGATCATTCATTAAATACTTACATAGAACAGGACAAAGGATGATTTTCCTTTGTCTACTTATTATAAGGAAGTGTCCAAGATTTACCACTACGTCATGATTACAGGTAGTCACCAACTTATGATGGTTTTAGGATTTTTTGACTTTATGATGGGTTTACAGGGATGCAGCCCCATTTCAAGCTGAGGAGCTCCTTAGGACTTACGAATCATGCCTCTTTCATACCACGGTAAAGTTGGAAAATTGTTACGTCAAGCTGTCATTAAGTAGGAGCCTGCTGTGTCGCTAACGTTATATGCTTTTTTAACTTATGATGGGTTTACTGGGAATTAACCACAATGTAAATCGAGGACCATCTGTATATTGTATGATTTTTGCTAATGCATTGAGAGAGATCTGTGTAAATTATCTATGACTTCAAAATACACATATTACCTCCAACTGTGTTAACTCATGTTTTTGAAGAGAATAAGGGTATTTTCACCCTATGTGGATGTGCTGTAGAATTTTTCTAAGCTACGAAAGTCTACAAATAACAAATCAACTTAAACTTTTTGGGAAATAATTTCTACTAAAGATTCATAATCGGCGTATTCCTTCAATGACTGTACAAGTTCATCCAGCAGATAATCTCCCTGCATAAAAGCTTCAAGATCATGCAGTGTCTTGCTTATTCTATGATCTGTGACCCGGTTCTGTGGAAAATTATATGTTCTTATTTTCTCTGATCTTCCTTTACTTCCAATCTGTATATAGAAAAAAAGATGAGATGCAGTTAGATTCAGGGCAATTTAAACCTACAAATTTAACTTATCTGAAGACTTAAGTTCTTGATTTATAACATGAATCAAAATGCGAGAATCAGGTTTTAAACACTTAGAATCCCCAAATGACATGGGAACATGATATAGAAAAAAGAACATGTGCTCTAAAATCAGATTAATATCTGAATCCTGCCTCAGCCACTTCAGTGTTCTACGACCTCGGGCAACTAGTTTACCCATCTGCAAAATACAGTGTCTACTACACAGTGATGATGGCTATAGAGCCTGGCACATAGTTGCTATTCCTATAGTCGCTGAATACGTATTATCTCTGTGAATTAATGCAGTCATCTTCCGTGATAACAAGGTGGTGAGTTTCCCATATTGAGGAGTTCTTAAAAGGCTCTGTAGTTATAAAATTAAATACCGGCAGGGCGCGGTGGCTCATGCCTGTAATCTCAGCACTTTGGGAGGCTGAAATGGGTAGATCACCTGAGGTCAGGAGTTCAAGACCAGCCTGCCCAACATGGCAAAACCCCGTCTCTAGTAAAAATACAAAAAATTAGCCGAGTGTGGTGGCGGGCACCTATAATCCCAGCTACTCAAGAGGCTGAGGCAGGAGAATCGCTTGAACCCAGGAAGCAGAGGTTGCAGTGAGCCGAGATCACGCCACTGCACTCCAGCCTGGGTGACAAGAGCGAAACTCTATCTCAATAACAAACGACGACAACAAAAATTAAACACCAAACAGGAAGAAAGCCAAGTTGAGTTAGATTTCAAACTTCCTTGCATATTACAATTTCAAAGGATTAAAAATGAATGAGGACTCAGTATATCTTTATTTTTAGTAACTGATTAAAAGTCTGAGAAAAATACCTCTGAATATAGAAAACAGGGCAGAGGTGTAAGATTACTATCAAACAAGGATAGCCCTCAGACTACCTGAATTGTTTTCAACACAGGTTAAAACAAATATGATATGTAAAAACCGAGTTATTTTTTAAAAAGCTGAGTTATATAAAAATATTTCTATCCTTTAAAAGCATTTTTAAAATTCATTTTTTACCTGAATTTTTCTAGCATTCTGTCTTTTATTTGCTTCTTTTTCTAGATGCATGCTGTACAGTTTTGCACGTAACTTTTTCATAGCCAGCTCTTTATTTTTCAGTTGAGATCTCTCTTGTTGACATTCAGAAACAACACCTGAATAGTGTTACGAGAATTAAAAAGTTTTAATAGAAAAATCTTCTTTACTTATTATCAAGGAATACTCCTTTTCCTCCTCATCCTTTTTCTTCTTCCTTTATGAAGGGGAAAAAACAGGACTCTAATAAAAAAGCGAGAGACTATAGACTTCACTTTTGCAGAGTTTATCAGAAAACTGAAAATTTAAGTTTGAGCAATAGCACAAATAGCACAAAGTATTTCTTTTTTTTGTTTGTTTGAGATGGAGTCTCACTCTGTCACCCAGGCTGGAGTGCAGTGGTGATATCTCGGCTCACTGCAAGCTCCGCCTCCCGGGTTCAAGCGATTCTCCTGCCTCAGTCTCCCCAGTAGCTGGGACTACAGGCGCCCGCCACCACGCCTGGCTAATTTTTTTTTTTTTGTATTTTTAGTAGAGACAGGATTTCACCATGTTAGCCAGGATGGTCTTGATCTCCTGACCTCGTGATCCGCCTGCCTCAGCCTCCCGAAGTGCTGGGATTACAGGCGTGAGCCACTGCGCCTGGCCTAGCACAAAGTATTTCTATACTGAAGGCATACATACTAAACAATAAGCATAAATCATTTAATACAGATTGTTTCCCCTCAGCTAGCCACCATGTTTTAAAAGTAACAACTACTTACAGAAACGAAGGTAAATGAGAAATCCTATTACTAGAGAAAATCACTTAATTTTTTTAGGCTATCCATTTTTTTTCCCCAATTTCTGTTTTGTATTCTGTATTACCTAGGACATCATCCAGTTTAACATAAGGATACTCCCATAATTAAAAGAACAAAATCATAGCAATCCAGTACTGGCCTCAACCACTATTAGTTAATAGGGATTATGCCCCTTTGAAATCAGTCATAGTAAGAGATTCTTGTTTCCCTTCTAGATAACTGAGATTTGCTATCCATATGCTTTTATCACATGTGAATCACTGTGGTAATACTTGTGAAAGACGTTTAGTTCAACCTACAGTGTACTGGAGACTTAAAGATTTGGATGTAGTCCCTTTGCCTAACTATCTAGAATCAGATCCCCTGGAGGTACGTGAATGAAGTTAATGGAAAGATGCCCCTGCAGTTATATACAAAACTATACAATGCTTTCATATCATTTTTTCAAAGGAGGCCATGTTCCCCTCCCCTGCAAAAATGCTCAGAACCAATGATTTAGAGCATTTTCTGATAAAGAACCCATGATAATAACTTCATTGTGAGAATTTTCTTTTTAAGTATAAACCTCAGAACTCCACCTGGAAGGACCATCCACACCTTCTATAAATCATTAATACAGACATTCCCTGAGTTTGGATCCCTCCCTCTTCCTGGCCTTGCAATTATCGCCCAGAGTATCAGGTAGGGATTCTAAGTAAATCAAGTATTTAATAACAATCCTTCGTAGTATACATTTCTCTGGTAACCGAGGATCTATTTCAGTGGAAAATTAGTCAAATTATTCCAAAATTGATTTCTTTGGTGTCATATCTTGAAGGAATAAGTACACACCTGTTGGAAGATGAACTATCCGGACAGCACTGTCTGTGGTATTTACATGCTGCCCCCCAGCTCCACTGGCTCGCTTAGTGTCAATTCTCAAATCTTTCGGATTAATCACGAGATTAATCTATACAGAAGAAAAACTGGTATTTTAAAAGGTTATATGTACCGACTTTATAAAGGCAAGAGCGACCCATTTATAAATACACAACATGTACAGAATTCATATATTTGGGAGGTTTAATTTTAAGACTAGAAAGTAGCTAGAAGGATACCAATTTAAAACTGTTTTGCTTTTTGGAAGAGTAAGGAATCGAAATAGTACAGGATTGTACAGTTTTGAAAAACAAATCCTTTCTAGTTCTCAAAAACCTGGCTTCTCTTTACCCATTTCTTACCAAAGAAACAGTAGAACTTGATACTCTTCTGCCTACTTTTAGAACTGAATGCGTGAGCTAAGGTAAGGTTTTTTCAAATTTTTCTGAATTTAAAGAGCCTAGCAGCAGGAAAAAAAACCACACACACACACACACACACACACACACACACACAATGGTAGCTTCAGAACTGTGGGAAGGGTCTGTTTCGTTTTATTTCAAACATATTTGGAGGCAAAGATGAACCAAATGGAAATGGGAGTGACCAAGAAATCATGGGTCTCAATTCCTCAACACACTGGGATCTGAGGTCAAGGTAATGCTTTGTCCTGGGAGCCACCATCAAAAGCACTGTTTCATGAACAACTAAGAACCATTCTGTGACATGTCTGCAATGCTGGCGGTAAGAATCCTACCACTCCCTGGGCCTTCCACCTCTATGTTTCCCTGTGTGACTCCCTCTTATGGTTGCTAGAAGAATTAAGATGATACATGGACCTCAGTGTCTCATCTTTTCCTGAAAACTTCCACCCCAAGATGCTTAAACATAAGTGACTAGGTTGCTAGGTGTGGCTCCTGCCATTTATTCTACTTCACTCTCTCCCTTAACTGTTTAGTTTCTCATCTACGCTTCACATAAAAATTAGATCTAAAGAAACTATGAAGACCTAAAGAAAGGAACTCCATGAAAGCTATTACAGAGTCAATAGCACTTTTTCCCAAAATTAGCATAGGAACCACTGAGAGTTCCTTCTCAGAGCATTCACACTTCATTCTGAAACACAAGTCAGATATCTCCTATCACTTTTTAGCAGAAGGGAAATGAGGCAAAACAGAACTCCTACACTAAGTTATCTTAAAAATACAGACTGAGAATTTGCTTTGTGAGAAACAGTATACTCATTATGAACAGTGTAACAATATACTTTAATTTTAATGTAAATGGGTTATGAAGCAGCAATTCTGTTAATTACCTTTGTTAAATAGGATTGTTGCTGTTAATACCCCATAAACCAGTCACACAAGGCAGAAGTCATTATAAAGGCAACCAGTCCATATTTAAATAGGTTGTTATTTCACCCACAGAGATGATCTCACAGTAACTACTTATTAGGAAAATACTAATACACAGACAATGCAACATTGTATCATTTACAAATCCTTGATTTTTAACATTATAACATGTTTTAGACTGAGATAATATACAACTCAAAATACACAAGCTTTGAAGACCAAATAGATACTCAATTCAGTAAACTCTAAATGTTACTCTGGGGGCAAGGCACTGTGCTAGGCCCAGGATTCCAAGGAGAAGGGCTTATGCCTTACCTCAGTAGGCTGGGGTAATATCGCTACAGTCATGGTGCTAGTATGGATGCGGCCTTGCTTTTCTGTCTTTGGCACTCTTTGTACTCTGTGCACACCTCCTTCAAATTTCATGTGCCTATAGGCTTCTGAACCCCCAATGCTGGCAGACGCATGTCTAAGGCCACCTTGAAAATACAGGGAAATAGAATTATTTTTGTTATTCCTGCCATTTATAAATAATTGATCATCACATCTACTATCTTGAGCTATATTTTTAAACTCATAAAAGGAGATAAACATGGAGACTAAAAATCTTGAGGTATATTTTTAAAGTTATAAAAGGAGATAAACATGGAGACTGTAAAACATTAAAATATTTAGTGTTTTAATATTTATCTTTACTGCTTACAAGTACTAAACAAAACATGTATGAGGCTAATCAATTGACATCAGTAACATATCTAAGACTACTTTTAAAGACTGTTAGCAATTCAATGGTTAGTATTATTGAAAGACTCTCCATGAGATTTTATAGGTCATTTCAAAATTATTGTATTTGCCTTCAAATTTATTAGGTAAAGGATGAGCATAAAACTACATAAGCATCCTTACAGATAAGTTCTAAAGCCTAGTCATGGTCTTTCCAACTCTTTTCCTAAACACTTTACCCGAAACAAAATGAATAGTTTACTGACCTATTTCACTTGGAAAATATTCCAGGGTTTCAAAATGCCATCTTTTAAATGCGGCATATTGTTGATACATATCAAATATCTCTGAAGTAAACAACATTGCCTCCTGACCTCCAACTCCTGCAGTTACTTCCAGGATCAAATCATTTTCATCTGTTTCTTCTGAGGGAACCAAAAGTAAGATAATCTGTAAATATAAAAATATCACCCCTCCTATAATTAAGATTTAAAATTTACCAAAAAATAAAAAGCTAAATGATTAGATTCAGGAATTTTAAATATTTAACTTAAGTTTCTCTAAGCAAATAATTTAATATTGCTGAGTACTGTTCAACCATCTTGCCAATTAGAACTGTATAATGTGTAACTTCCATAAAGTATTAATGTTACAACTATATTATACATGCTGTAAGATTCAGCTAAAACTTCAGGCTTGTTTTATTGTCTGTTGGAGTTCTTGTATGCTTTATATCAGTTCTCTCTTCTGTTAATAAGAACTAAGTACTTGCTGTGATTAGGAAATTACACTGTTGTAGAAAGCAAAAGAAGATTCTAGCTCCATCCTGTTGAAATTTAAGGCCTAGTATGGCAGAAAACCCAAAGCACTCAAAACTGCATTTGTATTATTTTAAGATTTCTTATTATGGAAGATAAACTTGTAATTTTGAAACTAAAAAGGCTCTTAGAGATTATCTGGTCCAATTCTTTAATTTTACTTGTAAAGGAAACAGAGGTTAACAGAGATTACATGACTTGTTTAAGGGCAAAGTGTTAGTTACTGACCAAGCAGGCACAAGAACACAAACCTTTGTGCCTAGATCAGTCTTCTCTCCATTACAATAGTATGTTTCTAATCAAGGGGATCTAGAACAAAGACTTCTTAGATTAAGTTAATTAATAAGAAAAGCTACCAACATTTTATTGGTTCTTTAATATATGGCAGGCATTCTAAGCACTGTACATACTTTAATTCTTAAAACAATCTGGGGTAAGTATTATTAACAGTTCTACCTTAAGATGTGAAACTAACTTTACAGGGGTTGAATAATCTAGTGGCTCAACATTACCCAACTCGAAAGTAAGTGGAAGAGCTAGAATTGAACCTGAATATACCTGAGTACACTGCTATCACACTAGACACTGCTCAGAAGCCATGCTAGTTACTACTTTTCCATCTCTCTAGCCGATGCCAATACAAATTATCATTCAAATTTTGAACAAATGGATTTTACTTGTTTGTTGATTACTACACACTGTACAGAAACCTTTAATACACATATCCTTCTTATTCACACAAAATTTAATTTAGAAAATTGGTAAAACGCGAGCTACACTACACTTTTCACCTTATAGTGGAATTCTCGCCTTCTAACATAGGTTATAGGAACATTAATTTTTAGTAATTTTCACATTTGGCTAAAGGGGAGGCAGATTCTCAAAAATAAGTACCCCCTTTCCTGGGTCCTTCCTTACCTAACACATTCTTTCACTTATCCCCAGAGGTAATTACTGCTGTCAACCTTTAGTCTCTGCTTTACAGAATTAGCAAAGAGTGGCTCTAATTTCATATAATTATTCTTCATTAACTCTATATGTTCTGTAATTCTCCTGGATGTATAACCAAAGCAGTGTAATCCAATTCTTAAAATCCTCAGGGCTTACTCTAGGTCTGACATTCTAAATAGTGTAAGAGATGCAAAATAAATATTCCTGGCCCTGAGGCTCACGGTCTACTGTCACTGTACCAGGGGACTTCAAGAAGTTGTATTTCAAAGTTATTTTGTAAAAAAATAAACTCGTGCTACTTGTTATAACAAGTTACAGGTTCTAGTTTAAGGCACTAAAAAGGGCGTATCAGTTCTGCTAAAACTGAAGCAAGAAGAAACATTAAATTGCTGGTGAAGCTTGGGTGGAAGAATGGTGAAATCATTGATGCTTTATGAAAAGTTTATGAGGACAATGCCCTGAAAAAATCAGCAGTTTACAAATGGAGAACTCGTTTTACGTAGAGACAAGATGATGTTGAAGAAGAAGTCCACAGTGGCAGACCATCTACATCAGTTTGTGAGGAAAAAAATTAATCTTATTTGTGCCCTAATTGAAGAGGACTGATGGTTAACAGCAGAAACAATAGCCACACCAAAGACATCTCAACTGGTTCAGCTTATAAAATTCGGACAAAAAAATTAAAGGTGAGCAAACTTTCCTCTGGATGGGTGCCAGAACCTTTGCATGCAGATCAGCTGGAGGCAAGAGCAGAGCTTTCAATAGAAATTTTAAACAAATTGGATCAAGATCCTGAAGCATTTCTTTGAATTGTAACTGCAAGTGAAACATGGCTTTACCAGTATGATCCTGGAGACAAAGCACAATCAAAACAATGGCCACCAAGATGTGGAAGGGGTCCAGTCAAAGCGAAAGCAGACTGGCTAGGGGCAAAGGTCATGGCAATAGTCGTTTTGGGGATGCTCGAGGCATCTTGCTTATTGACATTCTGGATGGCCAAAGAACAACAGTATCTGCTTACTAGGAGGGTTTTGAGAAAGTCAGCCAGAGTTTTAGCAAAATACCAGGGACAGCTTCACCAGAGTCCTCCCCTACACCAGTGCTCCTGCTCATTCCTCTCATCCAACAGAGGCAATTTTGAGAGTTTCAATGGGAAATCCATAGGCATTCATGTTACAGTCCTTATTTGGCTTCTCCTTTTTTTGTTTCCTAATCTTAAAAAATTTGTAAAGGGTACCCATTGTTCTTTAGTTAATAATAAAGACTACATTGACATGGTTAAATTCCCAGGACCCTCAGTTCTTTAGGGATGCATTAAATGCTGGTATATCACCTTTTTGCTTACAAAAGTGTCTTGAACTTGATGGTGGCACTTATGTCAATACATTAAAGTTTATGTATATATATCTTTTAATTCCAGTTTTCCAAAAACTTTTAAAGTCCTTTCATATAACCTCTTCTGCCCCATGTCTACCTCCAACCTTCTTTAAAAAAAAAAAACAGAGGGAAGATACGTCACTGTTTTGCTGCCTTTCCAGAAAATACTATCACTGTGACAGTTACCTTTCTGTGACAGCTGTACAGTATTTTTAGTATGATGAAAACAGGACCACATGAAGTTTGTTCTTTAAAAGCCAGTTTATTGATAGTCATAATCATTTCAAAATGTATGCATATATCAAAACATCACATCATACACCTTAAATATAAGCAATTTTGGGGTCAATTTATATCTCAATAAATCTAGAAAATAAATTTTAAAAACCCAATTTATTCTAAACAGTAACAAGCTAGTCACTTCTTTGTTTTTATAAACCTTTAATAAACGTTAATGCCTAAGAATAGCACAAATGCTTTATTCTTTGCAGAAATACCATACCTGATGCTTCAGCTGAGTTATTTCTTTTTGACACAGAGTTGTTTCATTCTCTGCAAGTTTCCTTAAATCTTCATTCTCATCTAGGAAAAAAAGGACAGAAGTTAAGGTTTTCCTTAATTAGTGTTGAACTGCCAGCAGACTTCTAGGAAATAGTTTTATGGTTATTATAGCTGAAGAGAAAAATAAAATGTCTATCTTGTCCTTTCAATAAATGCCATTCAATAAATGTCCTTTCAATCAATTTCACCATTTTATACATTAGTTTTCATACATGTAAGTATAAAGTTTTTTTTTCTGACAAAAGAAAGTACAAGTAAAAATTTCTATAAAAATATAAAAAAGCTAAACTCTTCCATAATTTCATCTCCATGAAATATGCACTTTAATAAATATGCTTTTAGACTTCCAACTTAGACTATACAATAAACCAATGAGTGCATTTAGCTAATAAGATGGACAGAAGGGATACAGAAGTTTACACCAGTAAAACTAAAATTCAATTAAAAAGTAGAAAGTTATTTATTCTCTTATAAGCAAATGTTTCATTACTATTTTAGTAACCACCCAAAAACATTTATTAGACTCTGCCTAATGTACACAGAATGTTTATATGAAGTACTCCTCTCTCTCTGGCTTTACCCTTATTGTTGTTTCATCTTTAAATTTTCATTTTTATCTTATAAAACATACTTTCTCATTCCTCTACCCTATAGATGATATGCAGCCTATATAAAGGAGGAGGAAAGGGAAAATTTCTGGCTATTAACAAATTATTCTCTCTATGGAAAGTTCAAACCCTTACAAAGTATCAGTTTGTATGCTTCTCTGTTAAGAACCAACCGTGCTGGGAACTGGGATAATACATATGTAAGACCTGCCCTCAAGAGAGCATTATAGATAATTTTAGTTTCTTTATATTTTTCTAAAAGAGAAAAACAAAAAATAACCTAAACCACTATGTGATATGGTTTGGCTGTGTCCCCACCCAAATCTCATTTTGATTTGTAGCTCCCACAGTTCCCACCTGTTGTGGGAGGTAACTGAATCATGGGGGCAGGTATTTCCCGTGCTGTTCTCGTGATAGTGAATAAGTCTTACAAGATCTGATGGTTTTATAAAGAAGAGTCCCCTGCACAAGTTCTCTTGTCTGCTGCCATGTAAGAAGTGCCTTCTGCCTTCCACCATGATTGTGAGACCTCCCCAGCCACGTGGAACTGTGAGTCTATTAAACTTTTTTTTCTTAAAAATTACCCCGTCTTGGGTATGTCTTTATCAGCAGTGTGAAAACAGACTAATACACTATGTGATCAAATATTAAAACAGTTGCACCTTGAAGGAATCTGTTGATTTTGGAATGGGCAGAAAAAGGAAAGAAAGATTAACTCAAGGAGAGAATAACAACAGCAAAACTGAAATAAGTAAGTACAGGAAGCACTGCTGAAAATTATTTTGGCACGCATATGGTATGGAAGAAATCTGGTAGAATAGAAAATGTGTTGAGTTAGGAAAAGCAAAAATGAATTCTAGCCCTAGTTTAATCGCTAAGGTACTGTTAGGGCAATAGGCTCAACTTCTCTCAGTTATGACAAGAATGAAATGAAAGTTCTGAGCTAGATGATCTCTAAGGTGCCTTTCAGTTCTGCAAAATAAGGAGATTGGAACTAGAGTCTAGAAGTAATTTAAAAACTATATTTTATTTAACCCAATATGCTCCAAATATTATTTCAACATGTAATTAACATAAAAATATTACTTTCTATACCAAGTACTTGAAATCTATATGTATTTTACACTTAAACACCTCAATTCAGACTAGCCACAAATAGATGCTCAACAGCTGTGTGGCAACTGGCTACTATATTGGATAGTGCAGCTCTAAAGGGTTTAGAATGAGGAGTTACTCAGAGCCAATGGTAATACACTACTTCTTTAATTTCTCTTGAATATTATAAATCAACATATGTTTACTGGACACCTACCATGTGCCCGCCTTCCCCTTTCCCTACAAAGATGTTTATGGTTTCCTATTCTAAATGGATCCCATTCTTTTCAACCCTTTGAGTAGCTGCTTATTGTCACCCCTCTTTTCCCACCTAGATTTCTGGAGATAAAATGCCATTTTTATTACTTTTTTCCTGTTAACTCTAATTTACTTCTCAAGCTGTTACAATGGATTCTATAATCATATCAAGACTATTTTTATTCAAATTACCAATAACAAAATTGCCAAATCGAAAGAGTTACTTCAGTGTGAGCTGAAAAGGTTGAGTTTTACCTTTCTATGTCAGGTACTGAGGAATTTTTTTTTTTTTTTTTTGAGGCAGGGTCTTGTGCTGTCACTCAGGCTGGAGTGCAGTGGCACCATCTTGGCTCACTGCAACCTCCACCTCCCGGGTTCAAGCAATTCTCCCACCTCAGCCTCTCAAGTAGCTGGGACCACAAGCACGCACCAGCATGCCCAGCTAATTCTGCATTGTTTGTAGAGACAGGGTTTTGCCATGTTGCCCAGGCTGGTCTCGAACTCCTGGGCTCAAGTGATCCACCCACCTAGGCCTCTCAAAGTGCTGGGATTAGAGGCTTGAGCCACCACGCCTGGCCAAGGATCTCTTACTTCTTGAAATTTTCTTTAATTGGCTTCTACAGCTTCATTTATTTATCTACTTCAAGGTCACAAAGCTCTGGCTGTTTTTTTCTTAACCTTTTATAGCTTTCTTCTCTGCCTGCTCCTCAAATACTATGTATTTCTGGCCTTTTTAGACTTGTTTCTATCTTAATGAATTTTCCCTTAGTGTTCTCATCTACTTCTAAGGTTTAGTTTACCATGTATTGTATATCTCAAGAGCTCTCTTATGATTATTTGGGCTCAATTTTTCTCCTTTGTCAGTAATTTTTTCTCCTAGACTAGTACAAATATCTTTATTGGAATTCCTTTTCACAGGTATTTTAAACTTAATATGGCATTCACTGCAAAACTCATCTTTTCAAAAAATTTGGTCCAACTTTTATACTTTCGTCTTAATTAACAGTACCACTCATGTGCTGAAGCCAGAAACCTAAGACTTTTCTTAGAATTAACTCTCTCTCCTTCATCCTTCTCAGGACATAAGCCACTAAATCCCAATTGGTTCCTCAGAATGTTTTGTGAGTCAGACCTATTCCTATCACCATTTCTTCTTTGGATTGTTTCAACTGCCTCCTCCCTGGCCTGTCAGTCACCAGGGTTTCTGGAGAATATTCCAATTCATCCTCAACGCATGCCACCATTAACTTTTCTTTACAAAGACGTGACTTCTCTGCTTAAAAACATATGCAGCTTTCCATGGTCTATAAAAAATAAATCCAAATTTTTTGTCTTGCAAGGTTCTTAACTGTCTTTCTGGCTTCATGTTTCTATGACATTATCATCTGCTACCTATTCTATACTTAGGCCATATTGAGTTTCCCAATTTAGTACCTTTACCTAGGCCGGTCACCTCTCTGCCTTTAATCTCTTGCACCATCTGACAGACAACCTCCTGCTTACCCTTCGAGATACACTTAAATGCCAGCCTTTGTTTTTGATAACGCTCTGGGGTTTATTGCAGATGTTAAACACTAATCTTTATAACTATAAAAGTCACTTAATATTTTTACTTCTTACACATCTCCCTTACTAGACTGTAAGCACCTAAAAGCTATTTCCGTAATTTTTTTTAGTAATTAGTGGTGTCTGACTAAATAAACCCTGGAGTACAGTAAGGGATCAATACAAGTTAAACTATTATTATATTCTATATGGGTGGGCCTTTACACCTCCCCAGTGTTTAACAAGTGCTTGCTCTCCTAGGTCTTTATTCATACATTTATATCTATGCTTTCTTATCAGCTATATTACAGGTAATTAATTATGTCCCTCACTAGACTGCGAATCTCTGTGGAAGTTTTCTACCCACAGTGGTGCCTGGACCAGCAGCTTGGCAGGCCTGGGAGCTTATAGTAATGCAGACACTTAAGCCCCTTTCCAGAATCACTTGGGAAACTTGTTAAATGCACATCTAGGCCGGGCACGGTGGCTCACACCTGTAATCCCAGCACTTTGGGAGGCCGAGGAGGGCGGATCACGAAGTCAGGAGATCGAGACCAGACTGGCTAACACG